CACAGGAAACGCGAGCAGCACTGCGGATGCGACAGCGAACACGGCCGGTCCGCGCACGGGTCGCCCACGTCGTCATCGTCCTTCGAGCAATGATAGAAAATCCCTTTGACCAAACACATGCACGTCCCGTGCTCCAACACGTTCTCGGCCGAACACAGGCACTGTCCGTTGCACGCGAGGCGCGCCGGGAGCGGACGCGGGGCCTTGCATTCACCGCACTTGCATTTCCCGCAGCTCTCGCAGATGTATAAATGCGGCGAGTTGAGTTTTTCCGTCTGCGACTGTTTAAGCGGAACGTCCGGCGGGAGAAACGGATGCGAGGATGCATTCAGAGATTTCGGCTGAGTCCGTATGGCACGGTTGCGATAATGCGACGGCACTAGCAGGCCTTGCTCCGAACCGCTGCTGCTGTTGCTCCCGGAGCTGGCGGCGCTGCCGGTGCTCGTGGACCTGCTGAGCGCCGGCGGATGCCCCGATCGGTGCTCGTAGTTGTTATTCACGTTCACCAGGATCACCTCGTGAGTCCTCTCCTGCTTGTCCACGTTGCGCGGTGGAGGCATGCGAGGCGGCCCCGGGGCCGGTCTGCGTGCTACAGCTGGGCCCTCCGTGTACTCGTTGCAAGAGCGGATGGCTTTGATCTGGTCCAGGGACAGGATGGCCCCAGACGGGAGGTCCGCATGTCTGACGCTCCCTCCGCGCTGACCGTGGAGATCCATAAGACACGATCAGCAACTCCAAACAACACGGATGCAATATTCATCTGACACCCTGAGAGACAGACAGAGAGAGACGGGTCATTCTCAGCATGCACACTTTAACCCAATACTTTTTAAACACCTTTTTGTGATGCAGCCTCACTCTTAAAAACAAAGGTTCTTTATTGGCATCTAGTGGTTGGTTGAAGAACCTTTAACATCAACGGAGCCTTTCAATTCCAAAAAAGATTTGTTAGATCATTAAAACGTTCTTAGGGGGAAAAATGGTTCTTTTAAGAACTGTTTACTTGAAGGTTCTTTGGGAAAGCATAAATAGTTCCTCTGGTGGTTCCATGAAGAACCTTTAACATCCATGGAACCACTAAAGGTTGTTCATAGTGGAAAAAAAAGTTCTTTAGATTATTAAAATTTTACTCTTAGAAAAATTGTTTTTTTTAAGAACTGATCACTGAAAGGTTCTTTTGGAAGCCGAGAATGGTTCTTTATTGGCGTCTACTGGTTCCATAAAGAACCTTTAATATCGATGAAACCTTTCCATTCCACAAAAGGTTCTGTAGATTATGAACATGTTCTTTACACTAAGAAAAAACGGTTCAGTAACATTTTTCTTGAAGCTATATTATATAAAAATCTATCATAAAGCGCTTCAATATAAAGGTCCTAAAGTACCTTTTAAAACTAAACGTTCTTTAACCTTTCCATTTCACTAAAGGTTCTTTATAGTGGAAAAAGATTCTTTAGATTTATAAAATGTTCTTTAAAACTAACAACAAATTGTTCTTTAAGACTTTAATGCATTATAAAAGTATTTAATGCACTAAGTACTAATGCCTCGGAAATAATTCTAACTATTCATCGTTACACCTTTAGAAAGCATAAAGCACTAAAACACATGACAAACAACCGATTTCAGATCTAACAAAGGATCTGCTAACATTATAATGCATTTTAACTTCGATTACAATTATCTCTGAAAATACATAATGCTGATAACATAGATTTTAATGCATTATGCATAAAGTGCTGCCAAACCACTTTTTCTTAGTTTGAAGAACATCTAAAGAACTTGTGTAGAATCTTCTGTGGAATGGAATGTTAAAGGTGGAACCATCGATGCCTGAAAAGAACGTTTGATCAATGTATCTTTTGAGAACTCTAGTGAACAGGTTCCAAAAATGATTGCGGAAATCTTTATTTAGAAGCGCGTACTGGTAAAAACTAATCTAACTAGTGGTCACTGAAGCGTTCAAACATCCTGTTGGAACACATACACACTGTCAGGCCCCCAAGCTTTTGTTTTTGACTTCCTCTGGGGGTTCAAGCCTTAATTAGAGGGTCAAACCCCCTCGGACACACAATGCACACCCCGGTGTTTCGAGATATGACGCGCTAAACGCAGATCCGGACTGGACGTGTGCAGATGTACTCAGAGACAGAGCTCATAAATCACACCGCAGAAGTGTGTGTGTGTGTGAGAGAAATGAAGGTCTCGAGCTCTTTTCCTTCTATACACAGAGCCATTTAACCCCCGAGCGGAGAGAGAGAGAGTTGACTATTAACAAGACTTTGTACCGACCTCAATAAGCACACAACTGAAGTAAAGTACAAATACTTCCCGTCCTGATTTGCATGTGTATGGCTGGTTAACATTAAAATGCAGAGCCACACAGAGCCGGAAGCCTTCAAATCAAACACAGCGCTTCTCAAAGCGCTTTATGATGCGGGACGAGTCCGAAACTTCACGAGGCTTCGTTTTACTCTTTAGTTCAGAGGTTCAGACGGAGAGAACCGAATATAATCGTTTGAGCTAATAAAATTAAGCATGCAAATTGGAAAGCACAGATTTGGAAAACTTTGCGTTAATATCGGCTGCGCAACTAATGCGTTAATATCAATACAAATAATCAGCAATTAATTTTTTTTAAATGCAAATATATTTTTTCCTGGTTATTATGTGTTTAATATTATATTGTTTTGCATCCGTGCATCTTTGAGAAATGTACTACGTAAAAACATAAAACGCGTTCGAGAAAAACACGCAGAACTACAAGAAAAAGGAAACTTATGAATGAAAACAAGCCCGCTGGGGGAGGAGTGTGTGTGTGTGCAGGCTCAAACACACGCACACACTCATACACACACAGCCTGAAGCGCATAATATGATTATGAACATAAGTTTCGAGTAATACACGCGAGTTGAATAAACGCAAGAGCTCCGGTTTCACAGATCCACACGCGATCTCCATTCAATCCTGCCTCATTCCGCATTAAATAACACTGATGTGTGTGTGTGTGTGTGTGTGAGGAATGATACGTACCTACAGACAGACTCCCATAATGTCAAATCCATCAGTCCATGTGCCAAACATCCATCAATATGTCCTGAACGAGGCCAAAAATCAGCGCATGACTGCGAGCGTAACATCCAGAAGGAATCCGGGTAAATCCAGGAATCAAGCGCGTTAGTTGCTGGTTTAGCGCAGTGCGCGTCTGTCCGGTGACTCTGCGTGAGTGTGTCGGATCAGATGCGTGCGCTGTTGTTGCACACACACACACACACACTGATGAATGAAAGAGGATCATGGGGCAGATGCAGGAGGGCGGACGAGCTCTGGGTTTAAGGTGGATCGTGTGAAACAAACGCGCATCTGCTTCGGAACGTCACCCGCGGCGCGTCACGCACGCAATCAACGTCTGAACATTTGCTGCATTTTCACCCTGTTACACTCGTGTGTGTTGTAATAAAGTGTTTTATGTATTATTATTTTGTTTCTGATTCAGATATGCAGTATTAGTAATGTTTAACACTATTGAGTATTAGTCTCAAATTTACTGATTGTCATTAGGGCGATGTGCACTAAACTTTTAGATATTGAAAATGTAACTTAAGCAGTTCTCATCAAAAGTTTTCAAGGCTTTTGTCCAGTAAAACATCTCGAAAACATCAGATCAAAAACACAGCAGCGCTGGTGCGACCTTAAGAGCTCAAACCCCCCTCACCGAGTGTGTGTGTGTGTGGGGCGGATGTGCTGCATCCGGATACATGAGAAAGGAAAGTTCAGCACAAAGTCATTTCATGCATTCAGATGGAAACGAGCCACACACACACACACACACACACACACACACAACACAACTCCTCCTGAGAGGCAGCGATGAAAATTATTTTGACATTTAGTTTTACATGACTATATTGCTTGTTACATAAGAATTACAAAGTATATATTAAAAAGCAAAAAATTTATAAAAATAAACAAATAAATAAAATAATATTTTGTAATATTATATAGACTATTATAGACATATATTATATATTATTAATAATAACAACTTTAATAGCACCAGTGTTGTTTTAGTACCTATTATAACATTATAGTATTAATTAATATTTTTAATTAACTTTTTTCATATTGTCAGTTTTCATTTTAATTTTGTTGTCCTTCTAAATAACATTGTCCTTTTTATTATTTAAAATTTATTTTTACTTCAGTTTTAGTAATATTTAGTAGTTATTTTATTTCAGTTGCAAAAGCAGCATTTCTCATTTTTGTTTAGGTTAAGTTTAAGTTTAAGTTTTTCATCAAATTTTTATATTTTCTTTTATTCCCTCTATTTCAGCAAAGAAAACAATTTTTAATAGCTTTAGTTATCAATGTGCAGCACTGCAGGCTTTTTGCTCATATAACTTTAATGTTTTTTAATGCTAATTTCTTCTTTAGACGTTTCTCTTTAGGTGTTTTAGTTTCTGGGTTAAAGCAAATGAAAGCAATCTACAGGAGAATAAAACAATATTTGTGGAATTTAAAAATGATCTCCTGTGACCTCAAATCATATTTTTGGCCACACCCACAAATAAATGACAATAATCCTTCATGTATGTTAAGAGCTGGTGCAGGTGAGTAAAGCTTTAGAGCACAAAACCATAAAACACTGCTCTGTCATCAAATAAAACCTTTATAGATCTGTAACTCCTTTAAGGCCAGATGACCATAAACACACACACACACCCTCTCACAAACACAAACACACACAAACACTCACTCTCTCTCTCTCTC